CTAGAGACAGTACTTCTACGAAACCAAATGCACTATCTATACTGACCACAAAGGCCTTCAACATATCCCAGAGCGAGGATGCTCAAACATGAGGCAAAGGCAATGAGTAGCTTGCAAAGGCAGTATAACTCATTGGAAGATTGCAGACTTGAGTGAATCACTTGAATCCTCCTATTGATACAAATGAGACTTCAGACATTGCTAGTGCATACTTACTCTTCGAAACTGTATCTTTGGCTTCATTCCTTCTCATTCCATTAGCATTGAATTTCCATTTCAGTATTCATATATGCGCACTAAGGGCATAATAATCATCTTTTCCATTTTTGACAATTTTCTCATTTAAGTATTCCATTTTTCCTAAATATGATTTCTCGAGTTTGAGCATTTCATTTCCGAACATTTTGGTCCTAATATGTTTATATTACCAGAACCTTGATTTCAAAACATCTCTTAATTTCTTTTATGTCACTTCTCGTATTATAAATCATGAAAGTTTCCAAAATTAGAAAATTTTAAAACTTTGATATCTTCCAGCAAATTACTACCATTATGTTCTTAACTATTATAATTGACACGCCAAGTGTATGTTATCTCTTTTTATAAGAGTTTTTATAAATTAAGTTTAAATTTTAAACAAGGAGCATGGATTTTTGGACATTGTACACTTAGCTTCTTGACCCAAGCCTATTATTTCTTTCCCTCAATGCAACTTTCTATGTGATAAGCAAAACATAATATCAAACCTTGGGTCATTTTCAAGATACCCACTTTCCGATTTCAAGAACAAATTAATTAGTTTCCATATGAAATTTCTAGCATCGTTCTTGTCAAACTATAAGTGTTTACTTCCATTGATGTTCTTGCATCCTTATCAACCCTTTATGACTCATTCTCTCTATGTAGCAAAGTATTCTTACTCCATCCATTATGATCAACTTCTTCATTAGCACGTACTTCAGAACTAGAAGCTTCCTCCATATAGATCATACCCTGTTTATGATCTCTAGAAACCACCAAATTTCTTTATGTTGCTTTACATGGCTAACCACCATAAATAGCTTGGTGACCCTCACCGTCGAGTTGGTATACCTTTATCGACATTCTCTTAAGGACTGGAAAGAACTTGACTTTCCGCAAGTTGTAAATTTGTACCAAAGGTTGCTTTGGGGACCGCATCCCCAATGAGAATGATACCTCAGCTCATATTGTGTACTACTCAAACTATCATGTTGTAGTTCTTGGGATTCTTTATGGAGCTTATGGAATGACTAGAAGGAAGCGACACCCCATGTCCTATTAATTAGAATTCTATTGAGCCATTACTATAGTAAATAAGAGCATCATCATGAGAATCGTTTGCAACATTCACCTCTTTTGTACTCTTACATCAGAAGCTATGGTCATCTTTAGAGTTCCAACATGAGATGTCTTTCCCATTGTTCAGTTAACATCTCCTCCCCGACTTGGATGTTTCCCTTGGAACTCTATCTATACATGTCCCTATCAAGGATCCAATCATGAATGTTGTAAATATTTAGCTATCCAACCCTAATGGAGCTGCTAACTATTAACCTGATATTGGGCAAACTATCAAATAAATGATAATAGTGGCAATAACAAGACTACGTCTTCTAACCCAATGGCAACAGAGGCTAGTCTTGAGGTAACTGAGTTGTGTTTATTCTCATGAATCGTCATAGAGCCACCCTGTCACATTCATGCTCCATAGCCAACGAATCAAGTACACCTTGTTTGCAGTAGAGGATGTTTCATGCATTTTGGAAAACTGCTCATTTCAAATTGTGGGTTTTCTCCATACTGGCAAGGATGTATGCACATCCTTCACCATTAATAATTTTAGGACTCCAAGTGCTTATTGGTCTGGATGGTGCCGATCGTCTTGTCTACGCCCTGCGTAGCCAGGTCTGACCCTGTTTCCACCTGGTCTTTCGAGTACGCCCCGCTTAAGAGGAGTGTACGCCCAGCGTACGCGTTGTTCAGTTGACTTTTGCTGACTTGTGACTTTTGGTCAAATTTAGGGTTTTGGACCATTGGAGGGGCAAAATGGTCTTTTTGACCTCAAAGGGCTTAGTTGTGGAATTTGAACTTGTGAGTTGAGTTGAGAACCTTAATTATTAATTAGGGTTAATTATTGTGTTATTAGGCGGAGTCTAGTTCCGGCAGTTCGGGTGTGAGATTTATCTGTCATCAATATCAGGTGAGTCTCCTCACTTATTCTTACTTGTGTGGTAGAATAGTTGTATTTATGATGACCAGCTGGGTCTAACTGTTATTTTTGTATTATGATGTATATGTATGACTGATACTGGGGATGGTCTCCAGAGTTGTTGATAACCCATAGGGTGTGCTGTTTGCCCACTGGGACTGCTTATAGTCCCCAGGGTTGCTGATAACCCGTAGTTGTTTATTTATGTTGTGTTGTATGTGGTATCTTGGGGAACTCACTAAGCTTCGTGCTTACAGTTGTTGATATATGTGTTTCAGGTACTTCTGAGGATCGCGGGAAAGCAAAGGTCTGATTGTACACACTCGCTGGGAGATTTGTATTGGGTATTATGTGGCACTCTGATTAGTGACGGAGCTTGAAGTGTTGATTTGGGGGGGGGGGGGGGGGCGAAAATAAAATATGTATAAAAACTGAAGAACAAGGGGGCCAAAGTCAAAATTTGTAGTTTTAGGCCTAATATGTAAAAATTTTAATAGTTAAGGGCTACTTATTAAAAAAAACAGAGGGGGGGGGGGGGGGCACAGCCCCCCTGGGCCCTATACAAGCTTCGTCCATGACTCTGATATTTCATGATGATGATTTGTATTCGACACTATGTTTTCCGATGACTTGGTTAATGAACAATACTTTAAGGAATTTAAAAATGGAAATTTTGGTTTGAAATTTAAGGTGTTACAATCGTGACGATTGTCTGTATTGCCTGTGTATGCTTGTTGTCTCTGTGACTCTTACTGTTATGATTATATGTTAGTTGTAGGGGTGAAATGGACCCGATACCGTTCAAGAGACCGAAAGGGTGAAATAGACCCAGTACCGATTGAAAGAGACCGAAGGGGGTTAAAATATACCCATTACCGGTTGAAAGAAACCGAATGGGGTGAAATAGACCCAGTTGTGTTTAGATTGTTATGTATGTATGGTATGGGGTATCTTGGGGAACTCACTAAGCTTCGTGCTTACGCTTTATGTTTAAATTGTTTTTCAGGTAATCCAAGTTCGCGAGGGAAGGGTCTGGCTTGATCGCAGCGCATCCACCCATGTTTCCACATTCTGATTTTGGGAATTGTACTCGGATATACTTTTGAATGATTTAAATGATTAAATGGTGTTTATGGTTGAACTAAAAATGAAAATTTTACCTTAAATTTTTGGGATGTTACAGAGGGGGGGGGGGGGGGGGGGGGGGGAAGAAAGGGAATGAATGAGAGGGAGGAGAATGAGCAGGGGATGTGAGAAGAAGAAGAAGAATGGTAATGACGTTTTTACCCCTAGTTAGGCTTCTTTATCTTCATTGGGGGAGAAGATGAATATGCGAAGATGGAGGAGAGAAGATGGCGGAGGTAAGGACATGGAGAAGTGAAGGTGGAGAGAGAGAGAGAGAGAGAGAGAGAGAGAGAGAGAGAAAGAGAGAGAGAGAGAGAGAGAGAGAGAGAGAGAGATGAAGAACAAGAGAATGAAGATTAAGAATAGGAGAATGAAAAAGAAGATATTGTGAGAGTGAAGAACAAATGGTATGAAGTTGCAGGAGAGATTTGAAATAGCAAAGGGTAAAATCTATCATTTTAGGCTTTCCCTCTCAATCCGCCCAAAATTGAGCAAATACAAATCGCTTTCAATTCTTTATTTCCTTTCCTTCCTAATCCTTCCCTTTCCTTTCCTCCTTCCAATAATAATAATAATAATAATAATAATAAATAAATAAATAAATAAATAAATTCATAAACATGTCTTCCCCTCCCTTTCCCCTCTTTAAAAAAAATTAGAGAACATGGTGTAAGAGAAGTATTGATTTAACTCTGATGTTTGGGAAAGTGGTGGTGGTGGAGATCGATGTGGCTTTTAAGAAGGAGGGGAAATCACAGATACGGGAAAGGTAAAGGAAGGTGTGGAGTGGAGTGAGTTTGTTTAGCGATTTAATTTATATAATAATTAAAATTAAATTATAAAAAATCTAATAATATTATTAAAGGTAAAATAGTCATTTTAAGTCGACTAAGAACCAAAAATATGAAACAAAAATAAAATGTAGGGATGGTCCAAGTAAAATAAATAAAATTAGAAACTAAGGACGCAGATTACCACAAACCACATGGACCGTTCATGTAATTTACCCTAAAATATAACATGTCTTTAAACTTGATTACAAAAGTACATTCTTTAAAATAGAAATATTTGGAAACAGCAAACGAACAGAAGCTTCACCACAATAGTTCAACAGTGACCCCGAGTACGAGCTTTTTTACAGGGCAAACTCAACCTGCAAAGAGATTTTTAGGCAAAACTTCCCACAAATAGGGCATAATTGCATGAGATAAATTTAACAGGTTCCAAGATTCGAACTCTTAACCTCGAACACACGTGGGTATCAAACATGGTGCACAAATCCAAAAATCGACTAAGAGAATATGAGTTGTTATTAAGAAAGTTATATTATTTTAACATAGTTTATGAAAAAAAAATACCGATATCTATTTTTTTTACTACAAAACCTCGAATTACCTAATATTTTGTCAAATTAACAGAGAAGTCCTTACGTTTTACTAACAGAAAATAGCAAATTATCGGATGAAACCTGCAATTTTCTGTTCAAAAAATAAAAATCGAAACTTATCCATAAAATATGCCAAAATAATAGTACTTTTCTGGAGATAACCCCAGAGAATATTGTTTTTTCATGCACTACAAAATCCGAAAATAAAACATCATACCAAATCATCATTTTCTTGCATCATTACATCAATAACATTATGTGGGTACAAAATCCAAAAAAAAAAAAAGGACTTCCTCTTTAAAACCGGTTTTTATACTACAACACAACCCAATACCATAAACAACAATAAACAAGAAAATCCAAAAAGGGTTCCCCCTCCATTTCTATCCACAAAACCATCCCCAATTCCCAATTCCCAATTCCAAACTCCAAATTCGGGTGAAAGTCAAACCCAAAAGTCAACCATATCAGCTACTGACTCCAACAGAAGAAGCAAACCCCGATTCATTTCCATTTGAGGCTGCAACAGTTTCCATTCGCATCCATGTTGACTCACGTTTCTGATTGTTTTCCTTCTGTTTGACTTCATCTTCTTGATATCTATTCAGACATTCATCAAACAGTGTTTGATCAATGTCTGAAAAGATTTTCCTTACATTCAGAGTTAAGCTCTGAACAGCTTGATTCCAGTGACCCCTTGGCCTTGTGTTTTTCTCCAAAGCAGGGAAGATTATTGGCAGGATGACTTTTCGGTTTTGAATTATCAGATTTCTTATGTGATCATTGTTCCATAAAAACAACGCCCTTTCAGCCACCTGTAACAAATACCAATGTACTTTCATCATTACTTTGTATGTATGCCTTTTTCTTTATAATGATATATAATAAGAAGAAATGAAAGCATATACAATTATACATACCTGGAAATGTGAACTATTAAGACACCTCCCAATTTGCCTAAACAAAGGCACCATACATTTTTGAAACTCTGCAGCTTGTGTAGACTCCAAAACTTCCTCCAATTCACTTAAAAACATAACCTCTTTTGAGCTATTAGTCACAGGCCAATATTTCACAAGTCCTCTAATCACAATATCTGCCAATTTAAAATCTTTTTCCACAAATTGTGTAACACAATATGATAATTGCTGATGATACATCGATAAACATTTAGGTTTATGAAGTGGAATCAAAGCCCTCATTAGAAAAAGCTTATGTTCTTCTTTCAAAGGCAAAGCAAACCCGTTAATTATACTCCCCAATATCTCAAGCATTTCTGCAATTCCATTATGCTTTTCGGTTTCAAATATAAATTGAAAGAAGATATTGTTTATTGCTTTTCTGATAAATGGGCGATGCACCATGAACTTTCCATAGATTCGGTGTAGGATTGTCTTCAAATACTCTCTTTCTCTTTGATCTTCTGAATCGAAAAGATCGAGTAGTTTCAAAACGAATGAATGATCGATGTATCGTTTGGCGATTTTGGCGTCTGTTTCTGTTGACGCGATGAATCTGAGGAGGAATTCATATACGATTTGGAGATGAGGCCATGAAGGTTCCATGTTTGGTTCATCATCTTCTGGATCGTATATATCTGGGAGTTTGGAATCGTGATTTGTAGGTAGTGAGCGGAAGAGATTTGTGGATATCATTTTTGTGATTTCTTGCATTGTGGGTTCATTGAACTTTGAAGGAACTGAAGATACGTAGTCAACAAGTTCGAGTAAAGTCTGTCGTTTGATGTCCTTCTCTTTCAGATTCTTTGATGGGTCGGTGAAATCAAACACTACACAACACATGTTCAACTTTTTTATGAACAGATTGTGTTTTTCCGAAGTGGGTACGTCTCGAAAACTTGGTAATGATTCGTACGCAGCTTGATTAGGTTTCTTCACCTGGTTTGATTTCATAATTGGAGTATGAGTTCCATTCATAGACCTTGAAGAACTTGAATTCGAACCTTTACCAGATGAAGAATTGGACTTAGGATTACTGTTAGCCCCTGAAACACTCGAATTCATCGAAGGAAAAGCCGATTCGTTCTTCCCCCCATCGGATTGAGAGGATTTTGAAGACGGTTTTCTCGGAAGCTTGTTAAGTATTTGCTTAATCATATCCGGAATCCCCAAATTCGCAAATCCTAAACCCTTCTTAATCGAATCAATCAACGTTTCAACATCGAGATATCCCAAACCACATACATTTCTAGCATCGTAGAGATAATCAAAGATAAGCCATGGAGGGTTGAAATTGAAAAACCCTAATCAAAAAGAGCTCGTACCTTGGACCCACACAATTTCGCTGACTCTAAACTCCGGAAGAGTCAAAATGAGATGTAATTCTCCGAGTTCATCATCTCCAATCCCATCATTTTGAGCTTCGAATAATCGAGTGAAAGCGAAAGGTGATTGGTATTTGGTCAAAGATAGAAGCTGATTGAATTAACGACAACTAATTTGATGATGACGATGAAGATGATGCATTTGGAGAGAGAATTAAGAATAAAAAAGAAACCCTAGAACAATAAGAGAAAAGGGTTTCTTTGGGTAGTGAGGATTTGGGAAAAAACCTAAATTTATTCTTCTTGGATTCAATTTTATTCTAGAGAGAGAAACTGTGCTCGGTGACTGACAGAGCACAGAGGGGGAGAATCTAACGGCGGTTTAACAGGACAAATGACAGTCGCTCATTGAAATATTTACACTTCAACCGCCTACACTTTTATTTTTCACGAAATCGTCCCAAAAGGTTGTAATTTGTTTCATATGCTTTATGTTTACTAATTCTAACAATGAGGTCCATTTTCTTTTTGTCTTTTTCGCATAAGCATATTAATCATGAAAAGGGTTGACGAAGAGATTAAGGACCAAAAGCAATGAACTGGTTTCCATCTTTTTATAAAGATGATTAACTTAAAGATAATAAGAATATTTGGATCATAAATGGATATCCATTCTCATTAATTTCAAAAGGGTATTAATATAATACAATAGGAATCATATGGTAATACTAAGACTTAATATTAAGAATTATATCAAACATACATATTGAAACTAATACTTGCTAATGTCTATGTAATACCCCCCCCCCCCCCCAAACAGTTAGTCGGGTAGGAGGTGAACGAAAGCTTTGACTATTTTGAAAATTTTCAAATCGTAATGTTCTTGATTTTGGAGAGAGAGAGAGAGAGAGAGAGAGAGAGAGAGAGAGGTAGGCACTTGTTCTTGAATGATTTTGCATTAGTAACGTTGTATTTACTTGATCTCCAAAATGCACTTAGAATCTTCTTGATGATATAAGGTAGGTAAAGATGTGATAGAACCACACAACTATGTTGTAACACCCGTTTTCCAGAATGGTTCGGTTTAGGACATTAAGGAGTCAAAAGCTTGGTTTTTGGGGGAAACTGAGTGTCACGACATAACCATAGGGTGGTCACGACGTGACAATCCAAGTGAGGAATGTGTATATGGACTGTGGCCACGACGTGAGGAAGGTTGCAACCCAAGCCCATGATCTTTTAGGGTTTCATTTGTATTCAAAACCCCATAAACTCGATTTTAGGGTTCCTTATCAGTCTTCATCACCCTCAAACCTCAGAAAATCCTAACCCCAAACCCTCTTGGTGATTCTTGGCTCATTTTGGTGTTTTGGTGGCTTGAAGAACAGGAAGAAGGTGTCTAGTGTGTTGATCCAACAAGGAAACCTCATCATCATCCTCTTGTGCACATTTTGGACCTTTGTAAGTGTCCAAGTTTAAAACTGTATGCTTCTAGATTCCTAGATCTAATTCATTGTCCATTTATCTTCAAGTTGAAGTGATGGGATTTCATAAAGTTGGAAACTTTATGGATCCTTGAAGCCATTTGAGTGTTATATGATTCAGATCTGGAATTTGGTTGTGTATCGAACCCTTGCATGTGTTTTGGGTCATTTTCTTGGCTTTTGACCTAGATTGGATAGAGGACATGCATGAGGCATGCATGTCCATAAAGTTGACATTTTTATGAACCATTAAAGTCCCTTAAAGCTTTATGGAAAGTGGGAGTTGAAGACTTAATGGATTAAGGAATTAAACTATTAAGTTGTTGTCTCATACTGCGGTCACGACGTGACATTTAGGATGTCACGGCGTGAACGGGGAGGATTCTGCGACAATCTTGTCATGTTGTGCTCACGACGTGCCGAAGGAGGATTCATGTCGTGATGATTGCTAAGTTGGTTATCTGTGACCATTAAACATCCCAAAAATCAAGGTTAAATTTTCATTTTTCAAAAACAACCAAAAACCCTAAATGTTTACAAACATAGTTTCCAAAGTGTTAACGTCACAAATCAGAGTATCCCAAAATCAAAAATCATAAAAACTGAAGGATGTGCACGATCAAACCTTAGCATTTCCCCGATCATCTGAAGTACCAGAAATATAAAACTTAAACTGTAAGCCAAAGCTTAGTGATTTCCCTCAAAGTACCACACACAACCAAACAAATATACATATTTCATGTTGGGTCCACGACCTCCCGGTTGGATTACCCTGACATATAACCTCCTGGTTGGATTGCCACTCTAGCCCACGGTCTCCCGATTGTATTGCCTCGGGTTTGTTGGCTTACAACACAAAGAAATACAGCCTCAACCCAACCACATTATGTCGACATATGTAACAGATAAACATATAACTAGCAAGTACATGTAATCATACAGATATACCAATATAACATATAATCAGCATAGCATCATCCTATATAGCAGGATACATAACCTAGGGGGTTAGCATTGGTGCCTTTGACCTATGAGTATAGTGATGAGAAACTCACCTCACAGACGGAAAGATAGTTGAATAGGACATTGCTTGTAAGTCCCACAAACGCGAACCAACCAGTGATCAAACACAATCAAGATGCAAAAAAAAATAAGAATAAGAAGGAGTAGAAGCAAAGAAGTTCCAACAATACACACGTTATATTCAAGCTGTAAACGTCTGGTACACTTGGAACACATACACGGCTACTGTTCATCTGACACATCTCACACTATATATAGGGGGCAACCAACCGCAAACCCGTTCACGGCCGTACACACGTTCACGACCGTGAACCCTACTCGGCCGTAAACACAACCACAAACACATATTACATGACCCAAAACCCTATCAGACCTATACAGATAGATGCTTAGCACAAACCAACAAAATGTGACCTAACTGTCTCCCCCTTGGTTTGAGCTAGCATAGATTCAGTCTTTCTCGATTACCAAAACATCTGATCTTCCCATAGCACCCAACCACATCTTCTTATCGATGATCTCCGCTATCATGCTAGTAAACTCCTTGGCAACAGCCTCCATGATCTCCTGATCGCATAAAATCTGATGTGCAGCCAAGGTGTGGATGTCCCTTTCACCAAACTAAAGCAGGTCCTTCTTATCAACGAGACGGAAGCAACCATCTTTGAACTTGATTACAGCAGTGGTTGTGGCTTCATCGTAAACCTATTATAGCATGTCGCGTAGTGAACCATCACAAAAGTTCTTGACGATGGGAATCTTTGTCATCTGCTTCGTTGGAGGCCACATTACATTCTTGAAGGGCTTGTTGGTGATCGAGTCAAACACATCAATTTTAGCATTAGAAACAAAAACATCATTGTCTAAAACAGACAAATCATATTTTGAAACAAGATTATCATTAGAAACACTCTCTTCAGAAGCCTGCTTGCCTTGACTTAAAGGTGAATCTGCATAAGAAGTAGAAATATTAGTATCGTTTTCCCTAGCATTACTCTCCGTCACAGGTATAGCAGGTTTTCCATACACAAGATGTTCTTCTCTGTCCATCTCTTCCTGGGTCATAGGGATAGCAGTGTAATTGTGATTAAAAGGAGGAGGAACAGTCGCATACCCTAGACCTACTTGCTTATTGTATTTCCATTTCATTTGTTTTTCTATTATGGTTGCAACTCTCTCACTTGACACATCAAATTTCTTGAAATTAAAATCAGCATTTTCAAAACGGATTTTCAATGTGTCAAGTTCGTCAGTCACGGATGCAAGTTGTTTCTTGATAAAGTCGTAATTCTCACATTTATTGCTATAATCTTCCTGTAGTTTCCTAAAGTCTTGAGTCTTGATCTCTAGTTTTTCTTTTAGAGGTCTTTGGCCTTTTCTAAGGGTATAACCTTCGTACTTAAGGTCATCGTTCTCTCTACGCAATAATTCGATTTGTTCACGTAAAAATTTAACAGTATCAGTGCATGTTTGAGAGCAAGAAATTTGACTGGCCTCATTTTTCTCAAGCTCAGGGGTAGTGGACGCCATGAAAGCAAACTGTAATTCCATCATCTCTGCTTCTGGATCCTCTTTAACTTTCTCTTCAAGAATGTCACTGATCTGGGCCAAGTGAGCATTTTCAGGTCCAAAAATGTTTAGAGCCTGAATTTGATCCTCCCAGTCAAATGACAAAGCTACCACAATTAGATTCGTAGTTTCGTTGTTGGTAGCAGCTCCCTTGTTGTTTCCCACCGGCACCATCGTCCTTTCATTATTCACTCTTCGATCAGGTTTAGGACAGTCACGAGCAAAGTGACCAGGCTCGTGACAGTTAAAGCATCACAACTTTCCTTTGTTTAACCATACTTTCTTCTCAGCATTCATTCCCTAATTATTCTTCCCTGTTTTCTTTGCAAATTATTTGGCCTTGAAAACAGCCATCGCGATCTGCCAAGTGATGTCCATCTCCTCCACATCTTCTGGGTGAATTTGATTTAAATTAGCGAAAGAAATCTATGGTGGCAATTCACCAGCCACAAAGGCATTGTAACAGTTTACCAACCCAGAAGCTAGAGCCGAGTTCTCTTCAGCTTCCTTGGGAGCAGAGGTAGCAGCGGGGGCTTTTGAGGAGGAGGCTACATATGGATAAGTCACTGATGGAGGAACAACCTGGGATAGTGTTTGTGGAACAACAAAGGCTTGATTTTATGGAGCAGATGCGGTAAAGGATGAAAAAGCATTGTTAGAGGAGATCCCAAAGTTTGCAGTAGAATAAAAATTCACATGGTTGATTTCTCTTTGTTTGTCATCAAGATCACATGCTTTGATAATTGTCATCGTTTCCGCAAGACTGAGTCTGTTGAGATCTTTTGTCTTCTTGATGACTGAGACATTCATGTCCCATGATTTTGGGAGAGAGTTAAGCAGCTTCTTGTTGATTTCTGATCTTGGCACTGAGATACCGGCTGAACTCATCTCAGTGGTGAGTGTGATAAAATGTTGTAGTTGAGCTTCCAAAGTTTCTCCAAGAATGTGATTGAACATATTGAACTTCTATCGCAACATGTCCTGATGGCTTTGCTTCATATCCTCATTTCCTTCATACACTTCGATTAAAGCTTCCCACAAAGCTTTTGTTGAGTCATATTCACGGAAACCTTGAGCAATCTCCGAAGATGAAGCCATCGTAAGTGTCGCAAGACCCCTTTCTTGCTCTTTAACTTTCTCGAAATCCGTATCTATGTAATTTGCAAAATCTTTGTCGATAATGGTTCCATTTGGAAGAGTGGTAGTGATTCTAATTGGACCCTTTAGAATATTGCGCCAAA